TTCAAGGAGACTTATGAAGACTATGTGTTTGTTTGAGGGAAATGATGGAGTTTACTCGAAGGAAGATTAATGAATTTTATCAGTTAGAAGATGTGTATAACTGCCAATACAAATCATTTTCTGCTACAAATGAGGCCTTGGATGAGGTTATTTCTTTTCTTATTGATGGAAGAGGAACATGAAAGGTGAAGAATGTTGTTAAGGTAAACTTTCCTCTTTCTATGTTAAATGTAGTATCTAAGGCCTGACACTATTTTATTTCTAGAAGAATGATACCAACAAATCATCATAGTGAGGTAACAAAGGATAGAACCATCTTGAACTTCTGTATCCAGCAGGTGATGTGGAAAGATGTAGGCTCTATTATTTATAAGAACACTCAATCTATTACTTTGGAGGAGACCACTGGTGGTTTAGCTCACCTTGCCCTAATCTTCACACTATGTGAACAGGAAGGAGTTGATTTTAGAGTAGATGAGGAGAGGATTGGACCTCTAAAGCCTATTGGTCCTACCAATATAAAGACTTGTGAATCTCATGCTGGATGGAGATATGGAAGTAGGACCAGGGATATTCCAGGAGACCACTGGTGGTTTAGCTCACCTTGCCCTAATCTTCACACTATGTGAACAGGAAGGAGTTGATTTTAGAGTAGATGAGGAGAGGATTGGACCTCTAAAGCCTATTGGTCCTACCAATATAAAGACTTGTGAATCTCATGCTGGATGGAGATATGGAAGTAGGACCAGGGATATTCCTTCTACTTCAAGTACTTCTAGTACCCTTACTATCCAGGAACTAATGGAGCAGTGATGATCCAATAGGGAGATATCTTGAGAATAGATAGTAGATTGGAAAATATGGAGGCCAGAAATGTTCACAATGATGATTTTATAAGACACAAGTTTGAATATGATGTTGTTTATAATGATGTAATGGTCAGATACAGAGAGGTGATTACTCAGTTCAGTTTCCTACTCACCCTATTTTTACTCCATGTCAGCAGTAGAATTTGGATGTGGAAGAAGAAGAAGAAGAAGACGATGAGAAAGAAGAAGAAGACGATGATTGGTGATGCTTTAGTTAGATTTATTTTAGTTTATATTTAGTTGTACTTTATTGTTGAGACAATTTGTTTGTAGACTATGATACTTTATTTTAATTGTATGATCTGTTGTGAATAATAGATCTGTGAAACTGCTGAAAGTTGTTAGTTTTTAGTACTTTGTTGGATGTATTTGTATCAGCAAATTTTTATATGTATTATGTGTTATTTAATGTTTTAAGTCTTGTAGTTTTTCATATTAGTACCTGCAATATTTTAGAGTTAAGTTTCAAACAGAACCTTCAACAGGTATGTATTTTCTTTATGTATTAAATGTTTTCTTTCACCCTTTATTTTTTAGTTTTTCATGTTTTTAAAAATTTAAGTTTGAAATTTAAGTTTGGGTGGGGGGAAGAAAAATTCCTTCTTAAAGAAAAGAAACTTAATTTTATTTTTCCTCAATTAGTTATATTTTCAAAATATTTTAAAATTTAACATGACCTTTGGTATTAGTGGGTAACTTTAGATAACTATATTTGTGTTTCTAAATATATAGTAAACTTAAGTAAAAATTTTCAATAATAAAGGTTAATTTCAAAAATTAAGATATTTGGTATGATAGAATAAGACTATCTTTTTCTATTTTAAGTAAAGGAATTTGTATTTTTGAAGTGTTAAGATTTTTAGAGTTTCATGTAAGAAGAAGGGAATTAGACTTTATGAAAAATCATAAACTAATATGAATTAACAAAAGTAAAGAAAGGTATAGAGTTTTTACTTTAAGAAGAGGATAGTGAAGTTCTAAATCATTAAAGGCTATCCAGATATAGTAATCCTCACTTGGAAAAATAAAAGAAAAAAAAAGAAAAGAGAAAAAAGATTGAAAATGATCATAAAAGAGAAAAGAAAAAGAGAAGAAAAGAAAAAGAAAAGAAAAGAAAAAGATGCGAGGAGAAGCTTGAGGAGATGCCTAATTAAAAATTGGCTTTACTTGAATCAATTTAAAGAAGAAGGCTTGACTACATTTTCTAAACTTATATTTCAGTATTA